TCGTAGTAGCATGCATGAACTAGAAAGGATTAAAAGTATTGTCACAGTGCGACTCTTGTATATTTGGTATGTTCCTTTTCTCTCTCTCTCTCTCTCTCTCTCTCTTCTGTTTTGCTAAGGTACGTAAATAACACGTTGAATAAACATATATCTCTTTTCTTTCCTTCGTACTAAGGCATTTTCTGTACCTTTCTCTTCCCTTGTTATAGTTTACGTATTTTTTGTTTTTATCTTTTTTATTTTAAGGTGTCACTGTTTTTTTCCTATTTCATACACCATATATAGGTTCCATCGGAAATAAAGATTAAGATTTAATATTCATCAGTTAGATGAATACCAGTCTGACAAGTATAAGTTGTTCTCCTAAAAAAACAAAACTAAAACCCTACAAGATTGGTGTTACTCACTTTGGAATCAGAAGTCAAAGATTCATATGGATACATTAGAAAATATTAAACTGTTTATTAGTACATCTTTATCTGACTCAGGTATTCATCGCGCGGCATTTTTACCTTCATCTCCATCCTCCTCTTTACTTAAAGATGACGTTACTGTGACTCTTACCCCGTAGCACATACTATCACCTTTAATTCAAACTATAGGACAGAAAAATACAATTAATATTCTTCTTTCAAGTTAGCTGTTTTCTGTGAAGTCTTCGGCTAAACCGATTCCGAACGGTAGCAGTGCCGCAGGCAACCAATTCCAGGTATACCCTAAATTGTGGACGTACTTAACAAACTATCAAATTCGTAGTCGTTGGTTTCAGCGATAATGAAACCGCCTCTGTTTAGATTATCAGTGTCAAGTAAAGCGCCTTATCTTCTGAGTTTATTTATCTATTTTTTATGTGAAGTATTATCAACTGAAGCTGATTTATCTCTTTGAAACTTTCACATTATCTCTGAGGTAACAAAAAATATATTAGCTCTACTCCACATCGAATCTTAGGAAACTGATGGGCTAAGCCCTACCCAGCACGGAATCCTAGTTCCGTCGCTAACTTAAACGATACAACATTATGAGCTTCTCTATATAAATTATCATTCGTCTAGTATCGTTTCTGATTGATTCATCTCATCATAGTTACGTCCTAGGTCAAACTAATATTGCCCTGAAAATTATTTGTCCAATTTAAGAATTTCTGGAATCGACGTACGACAGATATATGCATCGATTCCCTCTTCGCTATAATATGTTGATATTAATGTTTTCTATTTTTATTTTCGTTTTATCTAATTTTTTTTCAAGAAACATTTTATTCTTTTTTTTTCAGTCATAATTATTAACTTTTATAATTTTCAAAACTAATTATATCACAAATTCATTTTTAAAAAAAATTTATTCATTTTTAATTGTATTAAAAAAAAATATTTTTTATTTTCATATATTTTGTCGATTTTTTTGTTTTTACATGACAGATAACTTATTTCGACGAAACAATAATGAAAATAATTTTAGTTGAAATGCGCGACATTTTTTAAAACTAAAATATCCATTGGTTTAAAAAAATCAACCAATCAAATTTTTTTGTACATGCATATATATTTGATAGATGAATAATTATCATTTTTCTCAGCAATAAATTACTCAAAATTGATAAATAAGACATGGAATTGATAGAGCTCATCGAGCTCGATCTGGAACCAGTCTTGGAATCGAACTGATTGCTATAAATGTGAATTCGTTCAAGTTTTACTGTGTTTTTAGGGTGTTTTGAGAGGTTTTCGAGGATTTTATGGGTCAAGGAGGGGACTTGGGATTTTTTTGATGATTGGAATCGATAGAGCTCGTTGAGGTCGATCTGGAACCAGTGTTGGAACCATACTAGATACTATGGAACCGAATCCGTTCGGGTTTTACTAAGGTTTTTGAGAGTTTTGGTAGGTTTTGAGGGATTTTAGAGGTCAAGGAGGGGACTTAGGAATTTTCTGGTAATTGGAATCGATAGAGCTCGTCGAGCTGGATCTGGAACCAGTCTTGGAATCATGGTGGATGCTAAGGAATCGAATCCGTTCGTGTTTTATGATAAATTTCATGTTTTTTCGGGTTTTTTTAGCAGTTTTTTGGGTTTTTGAGGGGTAAGGGAGGATATTTTTGAAAATTTGTTTTTTGGAATCGATAGAGCTCAAAAAGTTCTATTTGGAACCAGTGAGACCAGAGTTGGAACGCACATGTACGCGAATCCGTTCAAGAAAAAGGCGAATCCGTGTCCAGGATATCCTACGTCAGATTTTATTCATTGAAACGATGAATGAATTTCTATTAAATAATTCATTTTCATTGTAGTTTGTATTTTTATACATGTACAAAAGATAACTAAAGCATTCGGATAAATATTCTTTATATCAGCCAACTGAGCTTATGTGTAAACAAGTTGTGGTTGTTGGAATCAGATTAAACTATTGTAAGCCATCATTTGCTACTAAAGGTATTAGAACTGGTGAAGAACGACGTCATGGTAGGCCACCAGATACCAAGAGAGCACTATTGATTCAATGATTATGTATTATTTATCAATGTACTATTTTACTGAAATAAACTAAAATATACTGAACAAGAAAAATTACTTACTCAACGAAAAATAATTAAATACTAAGTTTTTTAGAATTGATTACTGTGCAATTCAGATTATATACTACGCAGAAAATAATAGTTCACTGAGCAAAACATATTGAATATGAGTTGGAAAAAATACTGAGCATTCTCAATAAAATACTGAGCAAAAATATATGCTTTTTTTAAATTAAAACTTGATAGTAATAAGGAAGATAACGATACTATCAATACGGTAAAATCAGAATGAACAGTAGTTCTTTAATATTAAGTGGTACAGTGCACGTATTTCATTTATTTTTATTTAATATTGTTTATGCAGTTTCACAAGTGATAATACCGATATTTATTAGATTTTTAATAAGAATTAAAAATAACTAACAAAAAAAATAAGATAAATTAGAAGAATCAAACTAAAATGATTATTGTCTGTTCAAGAAACGTATATATTGATGATTTCAAAATAATACATTTAATAGAGAACAAAACTAAAATAAACTGAAAATTGTCTTTCGTTTTTTGTAAGTTAATTGATTACTAAACTACCGTAGTTATTCTCTTTGTTATTTATTTTAATAGACTCGCTACATAGTTGCACATGTTGAGAATTTGCTTTTCATTAAATAACCAAGAAAAATGGCTATCGCCATACATTTGAAATAACTGGATATATGCATGATTCACTAGTGTGTCAAGATTATTATATGGTGTATTGGTGTAGTATGAATGTAATTCTAACTGATCGCTTAATGTAACGTTTTCATCCACCTTGTTAGCTTTAAATAATACAATGTTTGTATTTCTGTTGGCTATATTTAATCCAAATGGTTCATTGTCTATCATCGGTAAATAAGAATAGTTTATTGGATCGACGATATCCACTTTATCTATTTTATTAATTTCGAAAGAAGCCTTGCTTACATCAAAATGTGAGTCGATCATGAAGATATTACCAACTTTCTCACCAGCATTAATCAATTGGCGAGAAAGTTCAAACGATAAAATGCCGCCAAAACTCCAGCCTAGAAAGTTATATGGACCATTATGTTGAATTTCTTTTATATACTTTATGTATACAGGAGCTGACGCCTCGAACGAGAAGTCTTTTTCCATATCTTTTGCTTGTAGATCAAGATAGTAATTGTTGAATATTACCAGTTTATATTGCGATAAATGAGGCACAATGTTGTTGAAGTAGCTTTCGGCACCACCGTCAACAGGCGGCAAAATGAACAAGATATTATCGCAACTTTCATTGATCACAACAAACGGACGCTCGAAAAAATTTGAATGGGTAGCAGTTTCATGTAAAACTTGAACTTTTTCATCGAGAAAGATGCCCTTCTGAGTAAAAGAAGTAATGTCTATATGAGAAATCAGTGAGTCTATATATTTGATGGATGTTTCTTAATTTAAAAATGTTTTACCTTGATTGATAGGTAGTGTCTGCCATCGTGTTGCCCGCGTATCATTGGACGGAAGTGTTAGAAGTAGTTGTGCATGTTGAAATATAGTTGGTTGCTGAAGAAATGGAGCAATCGAAAGTGTATGAGCATCAAAGTTAAACACTGATTGATAATGATGATAAAGTTCAATAAATAATAGTGAATGACCACCAACACTAAAAAAGCTGGTAGTTCTAGGAATGAGATTTTCATTTGAATGAAGAATTTGACACCAAATAGTATGTATACGTTCTTCGAACTGATTAAGAGGAGTATCAGATTTATCGGAAGATAACAAAGTCGATAATGTAAAGTCGAGTGAAGGCAGTTGTTTTCTGTCTACTTTTCCATTTTGATTCAAAGGTAGTTTATCAAGTATAATAAAGAAAGATGGGATCATATGTGGCGGAAGATGAGATTGACAATGTTGACGTAGTTCTTCTTCATTCATATGAGAAGATTGAATATATGCAACTAAATAATCATCTTTCCATTTCATGACAACACAAGTAGATATAGATGTGATGTTAAGTAAACATCGTTCGATTTCCCCAAGTTCAATTCTTTGTCCATGTAGTTTGATTTGATGATCTTTTCTTCCTTGATAATGAAGAAGACCATTGTTATCCATTGTAACAAGATCACCTGTTCGATAAAATATGCCACCATCAATTTCAACAAGAGCTCTTGCAGTTAAATCATCACGTCCAAGATAACCAGGAAAGACACTGACTCCACCTACAAATAGTTCTCCTCCTTCCCGAATCATAACAGATTGCAAGAAACTATTTAGAAGTAAGCATATGTAACGAGGTAATGGTTTGCCAATCGGAAGATGATGCATTCGAGAGGTCACATCAATTAGGTGACATGTAGTTCCAAGTGTGCCCTCCGCAGGACCATAAAAATTCAAAATTCGACAGGATTGGGCAACAAACTGCATCAGTACTTTAATGAAGGCTGTTGAGACAGATTCACCTACGTTAATAAATTAATCAATATTTATTCTATTTCACGTACTCTTCTTTAACTTACCAACGCAGTTAATATTTCTCATCAGTATCCATGGAGGAAATTTATTCTGTTTCACGAAGTTACATAAATGATTGAGATAACTCGGAACCGCCACTAGATATGTCACTTGTTTGTCATGTAAAATATGGTTGATATATTGAAAATCCATATTACCTTGTGGACGTAGCATGGCTATTGTTGCTCCGCAGATTAGAGATCCTAAAATTTCCTGCACATGCGCGTCGAAAGTCGCACTAGCTAATTGAATCGTAACATCATCTTCGTGTAGTGCATCAATCCGAACGAAACCTAATATTGAATTGATGAAATTCTGCTGTCTCAGTTGAACCTAAAAAACAACTTCTAGTGTCAAATATACATTATGTGATAATCTTTCTATCGTACCGCTTTCGGAATTCCAGTTGAACCACTAGTAAAAATAATACAAGCTATCTCTCCACCTTTCATTATCGCACTTGAAAGATCTTTCTTGTCTATATCATTAACATTTAATATTGAATCAATATCAAGTAAAGCAATGTCATGATCGAATTTGGTGTTAGTTAAATGATGAACAAGTACAAGACGACTTTGTGTTTGTTGTATCAGTGCATGCAAACGATGTTCAGGATCTCGATGTGACAATGGACAATACACACCACCAGCCATTTCAATCGCCATCATACCAATCACCTAATTAAGAATCAATTTCAATCTAATATCAAAAGTTATTTCTCCAAATTAACTTACCATTGATAAACTTCGCTCAACACATTGACATACGACCTCACCTGGAAACACATGATATTCCTTAAAAAGAGTTAAAGATAATATTTGTACATAATATAAGAGTTCACAATATGTCAAAGATTGTTCATCTAGTTCAACAGCTAGTTTCTGTGGATGTTTCATGACTTGATACACAAACTCATGATGAATACAAGTCAAGGGAGATGAAAATGATACTTGTGTATTATTCAATGATTGCATTATATATTGTTCATTTGATAATGTTAATGATACTTCATAGATAGGTTTGTTTATTTGATTGTCGATAATAGATGCAGATAATTGATTTAAGATGAAATGAAATCGTTGTGAAATCTTCTCCACTGTCTCTCTATTGAACAAGTCGAGTGATGCATTGATTGTGCATGATAGTTGATTCATGTTTACATTATGATAAACAGAAAGAGAAAAGTCGGATGCATTTAGTATGGCATCATCATTAATGTTGAGTGGGGAAGTTGCTGGAAGAAGTTGAGAATCACCAATCATCACTATATTATTATTCTTGTATGATATAAATTCCAGACATGTATCGAGAAATGCATGTTTGGAAATATGCGGATACTGATTAAGAATACGTTGAAGTGGAAAATATGAATATTTCATACTATTTGTTGTTATCTCTTGAATATGTTCGAATAATTGATGAAAACACCAACGAGGATCTAACTGACATCGTAATGGGATGACATTCTCAAACAATCCAATGATTGACTTGAGTTCATCTCTATATCGATTATTACTGATGTTCATAGCCAGACATAGATCTGTTTGTCCATTAGTTAATTTGAATAGAAAGATGAAATAAATAGCAAACGTGAGATGTTGAAGTGATATATTATTTGATGATGCATGAGTAAGAAAATGATGTGAGAGATCTTCACCAAAATCAAAAGAAATTGATGTTCCACGACCAGTTCGATGTTCATTTGAGAGACGATATCGATCAAATGGTAATGATAAAGGTCGATCAAGTTTACAATCATGAAGAGTATCAAGCCAAAACATACTTGCACCAGTCATTGACATTTGTTGTTCAATAACAGCATCTATTATATAATTAAAGAAAACAATGTAATAGGAGGGAGAGAAGTGAAAGAATTGATTATATTTACAATCGAGATAACGAAGATTAGTGTCGTCTCCATATATTAATTGATCTGTTGTATATGCTAGATTGAGATCATGAAGAAGGATTTTCATTGATGAGAAGTCAAAGAAAGCATGATGAAAATTAAAGATAATTAGATCCTTGTTGGAAAGAACATTATCAGAAGAGATTTGTTTATAATGAACAAGATGACATCGAAAAACAAGGCCTTGAGCAACATCAAAAAGTTGAGGATTATATTTTTCTTCATGTATGATATGATTGAGTTGTTTATGTGTTGTGTAAGTGCTTTCAATAAATGTAAATAATGTATTATCATTTTGGTTGAGACTAATGATTTGTTGCATGAGTCGATTGTTTTCTGTATGAAATATGAGTGATGTTCGAAGAGATTGATGTTTTGTAACTATTAGTTGAAGAGCATGACGAAGATGTTGCACTGATAACGTATGGTGTGAATCGAGAGAATAAACAAAAGGCATGTTGTAGATTGGTACTTGTGACATGTGAGGAGTGAAAAGAATAGATTCATTATGCCATAGTAGAGCTTGTGCAAATGATGCTGGTGCTAGAATAATGAAGGATTTTTCTATTATGATTTAAGAGACTAACGATCAAATGATAGCTGATATCCATGCTTTAAATACTTTGTTTGTGATCGGTTTTGTAACTAGCAAGACAATTGATTGAGGATGTTAGATTAGTATTAAGATTGTATCAATTAAAACTCCGTTTTAATATTTTTTCGTAAATATTAGAAAATACTTCAACATTTTGGGATTAGTATCGAATTTATTTCAGTATAACATGGATGATGAAGATTCCGAGAAGATTGCAGAACTGATGAATATTTACAAGGCTAGTGAGGAAATCGGAAGAAATTATTCATGTTATGAGTTTGATCAGGATTTGTATTGTATTGATACAAATTCAATACTAATGCCAAAATATGAACTTATATTTCTAACAGAAGGATAAGCATTTTGAATAATGCATTTGTGGAAGATGTTGTTAGTGGTATGACGTATTCATGCAGTTTTTTTCAGAAACTCTGTGTTGATTCTTTTCTTCGTGGTGATGTAGAGGTATCCCATCACAGACCCTGCTTGCTTTCTTCTCTTCTCTTCTACACTGTCTTTCTCTTCCAGTGATATACATTTGTGCTGTGTTACACAGTACAGATCTCTCTAGTGTATGTATATCTGTAAGCATGTTCTTTTTCTGCATTTCTTCTTTTAAATAAAGAAACGGTCAAAACGAACTAACACCATTCTAGTCCTACGTTTTCATTTAACAAAATATTCTTTATAGGGACCGCTGGCTAAAATATTCGCTTTGTAAGAATCAACTGAAAACAAATGTACAAACTTTAAAGAAAACCATTGAACTGTTAGAGTAATGTTGTGATTTTGCACATTAATTCAAAATAAATCAGAAATAACAAAGTTTGTTAGAAACAGGAGAAACCACAGTTATGTGCAAAAAGCTTGTTTTAGTCGATCTTACTATATAGTACCTTTATTGAAAATCTCATTTCATTTTTCTTTACTATATTGTTTTCAAAATCGTTATTTCCGTGTGAAACTACTTGACTGTGAGGAGAGAAAGAATGCAATTAATGTCTGTTAGAAAGATGGAAGCTGATGTTGCAATATAAAAAAGACGTCATTTTTCGCCATATTTACAACTAATTCTGTTGTTCAAGAGAAATTTATCTAGCCAAACACCTAAACCCATTATTTACAGAGATCTGGCGGATTCGCAAGATGTACATACTGTTACAAAATTAGGATACGGCGACTATATTATTCCAATACTCATCTGAAATTTCCATTTTATAAAAAGCTTCTAAGTCGATATTAAACGGTATTCTTTTCTATTGTTACTATTACTATGACATAAACAAGCGCTTAAGTAATTAATGCAATATGTATCTTCTTGTAAACTCACACAATAATCTATTGAAACAGCACAACTGTTCTACTGAAACTTATATGTGTATGATTGAATCCATGATATAGTTAGTTTCTCTGGTAACATCAAAAAGCGCATCGATAGCGCTATTTTTTCCTTCTGGACGTAAAGAAAAAATAAACAGTCCTACCTTCATTCGCAACATTCTCCAATCGATGAAACAACACTAATTCCATTTCTTCAGCTTCCTCAGGAAGGATAACAGACACTTGGTTCATCGATGAACTCATATTCATCACAGGAATGTTGCTTGATTGTTTTTGAAACAGTTGCTCAAACATATATTGAAATCTTTGAGCTACTTTTGAAACAGTTGATTTTTCAAACAAATCATGCGAGCAAACAAAATGACAAGACATCTGATTATCATCTGATGATGCATTGTATATAAATGTTAATGAGAAGTCAAATTTTGACATTTCAAGTGATTGTTCTAATGATATTTGTTCTAAATCTGCATCATTCAAACTTAAATGTCCCATATCTTTTGACGCAGTGATAAAATCAAACATTATCTCAAGAAATGATACATTCGATTGAGTTAATTGATTATTACCAAGAATATGTTGTAGTGGATAATGAGAATGTTCAAGAATTGATAAACATTTTTCTCGTACATGTTGAACAAGTTCGTCAAATGACCAATGTGCATCAAGTTCAACACGATATGGTAATGTTGATACAAACATTCCAATTAGATTTTGTAGTTCATCTCGGTATCGATTAGCATTGATAGAACCAATACATAAATCAGTCTCACCATGAGATAGTTTGAATAGAAAGACATAAAATATGGATAATCCAAGTTGAAAAAGTGTGAGATGATGTGATGATGCGTAGTTGAGAAATGATGTGCATAATTCATTATCAAAAACGATTTCAGCTATGGATGCTGAACCTGATCGTTGTTGATTGGTTGATGAACTTTGTCGATCAACAAGTAATGACAATTGGCGTGTGAGATTATATCTTTTGAGTTCTGATTGCCAAAATTCTTGAGATAATGACATATCCATGATGTGTTCATGAACAGAATAGTCAATGTATTGTAATGAACTATCATCGATATGGAGCAAGTCATCAGATTGATAAGCAAGAGAAAGATCACGAATAAAGATTGATGATGATGCTCCATCAAAGCAAGCATGGTGAATGGTAAATAATATCAGATC